TTCTTGCTTTTTTCTATTTTTTTTAATCTCGATTTCATTTATTTCTGCTCTGATTTTTATTATTTTCTCCCTTCTACTGCTTTTGGGCTTTGTTCTTCTTTTTCCAGTTGCTTTAGATGTGCTGCTAGATAGGTTATTTGAGATTTTTCTTGTTTGTGGAGATAGCCCTGTATTGCTAGAAATTTCCCGCTTAGAACTGCTTTTGCTGTGTCCCATAGATTTTGGCGTGTTGTATTTTCATTTTTATTTGTATCCAGGTATTTTTTGATTTCTTCATTGACTCAGTCATTGTTCAGTAGCATTTTGTTTAATCTCCAAATATTTGTGGCTTTTCTGATTTTCTTGCTGTAGTTGATTTCTAGTTTCATATTTTGTGACCAGAACAGATGTTTGGCATTATTTCAATCCTCTTAAATTTACTGCAACTTGTTTTTTGGCCCAGTATGTGATCAATCCTGGAGGATGTCCCATGTGCATTTAAAAATAATGTGTACCCTGTCATTTTTGGATGGAATGTTCTCTATATATATCTACCAATCCATCTTGTCTAATGTGTCATTTAGGGCCAATGTTTCCTTTTTGATCTTCTGCTTGGATGATCTATCCATTGGTGTATGAAGTGTTAAAGTCCCCTACGATTATTGTGTTACTGTCTATTTCTCCTTTTATGTCTGTTAATAACTGCTTTATATATTTCAGTGCACCTATGTTGGGTGGCATAGATTTTTACAAGTGTTGTATCCTCTTGCTTGATTGTTCCCTTTATCATTATGTAGTACCCTTCTTTGCCTCTGGTGACAGTTTTTGTTTTAAGTCTCTTTTGTCTTATGTAAGTATTACTACCCCAGCTTTATTTTCTTTGTCATTTGCATGGAATATCTTTTTCCATCCCTTCACTTTCAGTTCGTGAGTGTCTTTAGGCCTGAAGTGTGTCTCTTGTATGCAGCATATATGGGTCTTGTTTTTTTATCCAATCAACCACCCTGTGGCTTTTGAATGGAGCATTTAGTCCGTTGACATTTAAAGTAGCTATTTATAAATATTTACTTATTTCCATTTTGTTACTTTTTTTATGGGTGTTTCAGTACTTCTCTGTTCCTTTCTTCTCTTATTCTTTTCCTTTGTGGTTTATTTGAACTCTGTCAGGTAGATTTTTTATTTCTGTTTTGTTTAGTTCTTGTTCTGGGATTTTGTCCTGTTCCCTTACTTGTGGGGTGTTCCTTTGTCCCCTCATTTTTCCTCTTTCTCTGTGCTTATATCTATGTATTAGGTAGGTTGGCTATGTCTCCTGATCTTGCAGAGGTGGCCTTATGTAAGAGATGCCTTATGAGGCCCAGCTGTGTGCTTCACTCTCATCACTAGTTCCAAATGTTCAGGAGTGACTCTTGCATGGCCTGCATGTGTCCTTCTGTTGTGTCAGGGTTGCTCTTGTTGCAGGTGTCCAGAGAGCAGGGCTGTCCCCCAATGAGCTGGTGGTAATGCTCAGCTGCATGTGGCTGCTATGGATGCATCACTCAGTTTATTGGGTTTGGGGAGCTTCAACACAGTTGGCTATGAGATCTAATAGCACATTCCTGTTGCAATTTTTTTTGAAGTAAGTAGGCCACAAGCATGGCTTGTTGCTAGGCTCAGAGGCTTACAATTGCTGTAGGCCTCTGGCCTGCAAGGCTGTTGTCAGCTCTCTCAGGAGTGCAGCTGAGTGGGACTGGAACCAGACATGGGAGCACCCAATTGGGTCAGGCTTTTGGACAGCAAGGCTGATCCCATATGCGGCTAATTGAGATTCACAAGTCTTCTGGCAGCTTGACAAGCCCCCACCACCCACATGGCACATACATCACCAACACAGTCTTTGCACTGTGCACATGCGCTGACCTCCTGAAGTGGACCTAGTCATCCCACTGCAGAGGCCCCACACACCCCACCACACCCACACACTCCATCTGCTCCTCATGTATGCCCTGTCCCACTGAGGGGGACCCACTCACCCAGCTGCAGAGGATCCTGGCATGCAGCCTATGCAGGCCCACAGGTTGCCTGTCCCTTGTTGTGGGGGTTCCTTCTATCTAGTTTTCAGTTCTCTCTCAGGGGCAATTGTTCCATGAATAGTTGTAAATGTGTTGTATCCATGGGAGGAGGTGAGTTCAGAGTCTGCCTATGCCACCATCTTGACACCTTTCAGGAAAAGTCTGTCTTGGTGAGCTACATCCCCTCAAGGTTCAGTGAAAGGTGCACATTTCCTTGTTTGTGCTTCTTTGGTGTGAAGAAACTTTGGATTATTTTAGCCATCTAGGGTCCCAATGAACAAGAGTCCACTTGTATCCTTCTCTTTTATAAACAGACACCTGAGTGTTTCCTTGGCCACTGATCTGACACACTTCAGAAGGACCACTGGCATAAACGCAATGATAAAATAATATGTTAGGTTACATAGTCATGGTCTTTTCCAGAATCCAGAATTCCTCATAGCACAGATTTTGAAGTCCAGAATCTGGATCATTATTTAGTGTCACAATAAAGAGCTACTGTGATGACAGGGAGGAAGTGTGGAGATGTATTAGCACAGTGCAAGACATACCATGGACACAGACTTGACTGATGGGACCTTTCTGAAATTGCAGGGCCCTCGACATAGGAAAATTTCATCAGGAAGCTCTCCTCGTAGAACTTTCTTAGGCAGTAATGTTTCCAGAGAGACCACTAGGGAAGAAAAAGTAAGGGAAGAGAGAATAAAGGTCCCAGCCACTGGAGATGGAGTTTCTTCAGGTGAAACTCAGCAAGACATGCAATACTGGCCTGAATTGTAAAAACAAAGGATGCACTTCAAGTTTACACATTAGTTTGATCTGGGAATTTTTATTGATAGGTTGTGAAATATTTCAGCAGATTCCAACTTAACTGTCATGGAGCACAGCTAACATCACCTCCCTGGAATTATATGCCATCTAGGGGAAAGAAGGCTGGGCTGAAAATAGAAGCATTTTTGGAGAACAGAACTTGGGTTCCTCTTTACACTGTCCCCATCCTAATTCCTCTCTGCAGACTAATCCAAGAATTCCAAGGTTCCCTGGCTCTGAGGCATCAGAGCTGGAAGCACTTTGAGGAAGCCTCCAGCACAGGACACTGGAGAGAGAAAGTAACGCTCTCTCCCAGGGCTGCCACAGCCAGACCCACCTGCACCCTCTGGGTTTGTGCTCAGCTGCCCCTATAGTCCCCTTCACTGTGTCTCTCAGAGCACAGTAGTACATGGCTGAGTCAGACATTTGCACTGAGGGTTTCTGCAGGTGGAAGGAGCTGTCACTGTTAACATGATTGGCCTGAAAGCCTCTGCTGTCCCCCCCCTGGTTTTCTGATGAGCTTTTCAAGAGGAGCTCAGGCTCTTTGTTTTGATACTGGACATACCAGAAAAGGGAAACTGAATAGCTGCTCTGGTAGGTGCAGTTCAGGGTCAGAGGTGCTCCCTCAGGGAGGGTTATGGGGTCTTCTGTCTGGGTCACCGAGTCTCCATTGGTCCCTCCTAAAAAGAAGTAATGGCTTTGTTATATTGGTAATGTAAAAGGATAGTCTCTAGTTTGTTAGGGGTTAAAAGTCATCCTGAAACCGAGGAATGGAACACCTTAGAAAATCTGAATCAATGCTACTTACTCAATATCAACAAGATCACAAGTCCCGAGCAGGAAGCAGGCAGCATGGCTGGGGGAGAAACAGCAGCAGGTTTTGCTTGGGAATACACCAAAGCTGAGAGGGCTGTTCCTCTATTTTCTTGATTCTTTGGTGGAATCTTCCAGAAAGCTTTGGCTTCTGTGTTAAACAGGACAAACTGCCCTGCAAGATCATGCCACAAGTGTAAAATGAGAGATGTGCTCAAAATGGAAGATGAATTTATGTCAAACCACCTCTTGAAGGGAGCAGCGCCCTCTTGTGGCTCCCTCTCTGTCCCTGCAGCCCGCTTTACATATTTGAATTTGATGTTTATCCTTGAATGGAGCTGAAGTTGTAGACATACGAGGGAAACAAGCACCTGGGGTGAGGGTAGGGCTCCAGAAGACAGCACCAAACACTTTTTGCAAACTTCACAGTGGTGCCTGGGACTGAGAGAGTGGGTAACTCCTTTGTCATCCTCTTTAAGATGCAGGGAAATGTGACTCCCTTAACTCTTAGTCCCAGCATCTAATATCTTTTCACACTGAGTATTAAGCTAGTTTTAGGCATCTTATGGTATACTGAGAGTGTAAAACAGCATGATCTGGTTCTCTTCTTGAGAACTCAACATCAAGAACTCCCCCATTGGTGCCCTGGAACCAGGGGATGAGCCCCTCTGCTTAGAATCTTCTCCCTTCTCTCGGCTACATTTGCCTTGGTAACTTACTTTCATTCTTTAAGAACTAATTTACATGCCACCTCCTTGTGAAAGCACTCATGCAGCTCTCATGGCTGAGTATGCCTGTCTCTTTCCCCACTATACTTCGTATACATATCTATCATTATCATCACTGCATCATATTAGAATCATCTGTGTTCTGTTTCCAAACTGGACTTTGTGCTCCTGAGATCAGGAACTTAATCTTATTAGTCTTAATAACCCATTTCTCAGAATATACAAGCCCTTAGTTTATAGTAGATGCTCAAAAAATATCTGAAGAGTGAGTGAACAAATGAATGAGTAGACATGTCTGGCGGGTACAATTATCTTTTTATAAAGTATAGTCTCTATGAGAGCATATATCTAGACCTCTGGTGTGACCTTCTTATTCCAGAGTCAGACCCATGCCCTCTATAACAGGTACATTCAGCATTTCTCAAAATTGAGTAAGGTTCAGACCTTCATATAAGGGACCACTCTCATATTGACTATTTTAAAAAATATTATGATGCCCTAATATACACAAAAATGAAGTTAAGTTAAACTTCTTAGGCTCACAGATCTTACAAAATTACCAATGCAAACAAAATACAAAATCAATAAAATTCAAAGTAAAATATTAATGTGAGGGATGATCTCTTGCTGAAACTAAAGAGTTGGATAGGCTTATTAGAAGAAAGATACAGACATGTGTAGTTCAATCACTCACTTGTTTGAAATGATTTGGAGCTTGGTATACTAATATCTGGATGATCGTGATTAGTAACTTCTACTATTTTTACTTTTCTTTTTCAAAAATACCCATTTAAGTCACCATCATACAAATGTATTGTTTAATGAAATCCCCAAAAATCAGCACTGAAAAAATATATATTGTGCATATACCGTTATGCTTCCATCTACTGAACTGCATGTTGATATAGTCAAACAATGAATGTGAGTAACACAACTCTTCAGTGAAAACACTGCAGTAACCGTGGTAACTTCGGCTCTCTGGGCTTTGGCCTGTCTGTAGCACCACGTGCCAGATCGTAACCAAAATTTTCTGAACACTTTTCCCTGTTTAAACAACTGTGATACCTTTGTTTGTAGAGTACCATTATTCCATTTTCTTTAATTTGGTAAAAATGACATAAAGAACACAAAAGCATCAAAACCAAGGGGAGTAGTCTGTTATAAGTTAGTCATACAGATGATTGAAAACATGCCTTTATTTTGTTGTCATCAAACAGAAAACTCCAAAAGTTCTCATGTAATCCCTCTACCCTGGGAGTTGGCTAACTTTTTCCTATAAAGGAAATACTTTAGGCTTTGAAGTCATTTGGTCTCTGTTGCAACTACTCAACTCTGCTGTCATAGCATAAAGCAGGCGTATATAAATGGGCATGGCTGTTTTCCAATAAAATGTATTTACAAAAACAAGCGGTAGGCAGTTTGACCTGTGGACTGTAGTTTGACAGCCCCTGTTCTACTTCAAGAGTTTACCCATAAACTTCCAAAGATCCGTGAACTTCAGTCTGAGAAACTCAGCCACACTTTCTTGTTTGTTTTCTCGCTATGATATTATCATACCTCTTTGAAGAGGATTAAAATAAAGATAGTTATCAGCAAGTTAATGGATACAAAGGAGGAAGAAGGAGATTTGATCATTTTAATGCCTAAGGTACTTTGGTGCTGAGGATTCCAGGGTGGTTCCTGTCATGAAGGGGCTCACAGAGTAGCAGTGGAAATAGCTTTTAATCAAATAATCAAATGAATAAAGGAAAAAACTGCAAGTTTGAAAAGGCAGAGGTCTATGATTCTGAGTGCACATTTAACTTCCTTTAGTTGCTGACTCCTGGACTGATGTACAAGAATGAACAGGCATTTACTAGTTTCTACTTTTTTGGAGGGAGGGAAAAGAATTTCAAGAAAAGGGAAAAGAATAAGAAAATCACTTAAAATCGCTATGACAGGTCATATAGAAGGAAAAAGTTGCTTTTAAGAAACTTAAATAATGCAAATATTATTGAAGACAG